TTACTTTATTTTGAGAAATCTGTTCAGGTCACAAGTTTTCATTTTTCTCATTCATGACCAGAGTAATGTCTTATCATTTCTTGAGATTTCATAACGTAAAGATCTTTGCGTAAGATATGACTTTGTGAGATTAAGCTGGTATTAATTTCATATAGTAGGTTCTTACCTGTTAAAATAAAGGTTATATAGACTTACCTGAACCAAACAGATTCTTCTCTGTTCATCCCACAGTTCCCAGCCCTCCCAGTTTCTTCACCAAGGTGCTGAACCAGACCTGCGTGCAGGTGTACTGGGAGCTGCCAAGCAAACCAGGAAAGGTTGAAGGTTTCAGACTGGAGTATCGAGGGATCTCCAGTCCAGATCTTCAGGGACAGGAGACCTTCCCAGGACACATCAACACACACACCATATCTCACCTGGGTGAGTAGAAGCACTGATTATGCTCAGGTGTAGCAGACATAGGCCCCACCCTCCTCACCTGGTCAGTTATTAGAAGAGGTGTAACCTCCAGATGTGTGTGTTTCAGAGCTAGCAGCGGTTTATGAAATCCAGTTGGTGGCGTTTAATGGTAACGGAGATAGTGCCTCCACTCGTCGCCTGGTGTCTCTGTCAGAGGGCGGAGCCTCTGCTGCAGGTAGGAGGGTCTCACTGAGCTGGTCTGTGGAGCCAGAGGAACCAGTTTAACCTGCTTCATTTGTCTTGTTCAGGTGGTCCGAGCTGTAACTGTGATCAGGCCAAAGGCTCCATGTCCACCCTGCTCATCGGGGTTCACAGCAGCCTCGCCTGCATCCTCTGCTGCCTGCTGCTGGTGCTGCTGGGCTACAGACGCAGGTGAGACCACCACCACCACCATCATCATCACCACCTGTTGACAGGTAGACTGACTTCATGACTGCTCTGTGTTTAGATTCTTCTGCAGGAAGGAGGCCAGCTGGGAGGCCTCGCCCACCCTCTGTGGTGTCAGAGGTCCTAAAGGTCAAACACCTGAAAGCATCGAGCTGAGCCAGGTAACCCCCCTCCCAGTCTAGACCCTGGGTCCTGTTAGGAGAAACCAGTCTAGACCCTGGGTCCTGTTACAAGGAACCAGTCTAGACCCTTAGATTTTATTATCATTGTCTTTAACAGCCACACTTTACTTTGCTCCGCCCACAGAGATGTGACTCCTCCCCTCCTGTGATGGTCATGGTTGAGCCGTCTCCACCTGTCGCTCCCTGAACAGGAACCAAATAAACCTCCAAGCCTATCACCTCCCCCTGCCCTCCTCTCCTCCTCCTGGCTGATTCCACAGAGGACTGAAACCTTCACAGCACCTCTCAGAAATCCACCTGCATCAAGTCAAGTCCAGATTTTTCTGAAACCAAAGCTGCTTTGATCCGATTCGATCCAGGGTGATCCGATCTGATCCTGAACCTGGCAGCTCCAGGTCACATGACCCCAGCTGTCCTCTGTGGTATCAGATGTCACTTCCTGCTGACACCACAGATGTTTTTCCAGTTTCCTGAAAAAGTATTTCCCCACCCCCACACCCCCAGACAGACCATGGACTCACCTGTCGATCCGTAAAGCCTGTACTCTGGTCAGCAGAGGAGATGCCTCTCCTCAGGTCCCCCCCGCCCCCCCAAAGAGCACTACCTCGGGCTGGAAGCCTTCAGCCTCCTGCTGCTGCTCAGACCAACCTACCTCAGAACCAGAAGCTTCTCTGGAGCTGGCTCAATGTTGTCCTGATGACCTCTGACCTCATCCTTTACCTGTTCAAGGTTTTCTCAGAGAGAAGCTGAACCTGGACTCTGGACTGACCCTCCTTCCAGCAGTTTTCCAGATCTGACCCAAAACCTCTTCAGGACTGAAGTTCCTCTTAGACCTGGATCTGAAACCCTGATCTAGAACTCTACAAAGTTCTGCAGGCAGTCCCAAAGCCTTTTATAAATCTGTTCATCTGCAGACCATGAGATCAGTTAGTTGGACTTTGATGGTCCATGAAGCTCCTGCAGACCACACAGATTAAAAACCTTCTAATGCTCCTAGCTTTAACTTCCAAAACCGTTTTCTGAAACTGATCCACCACAGGGTTATCCAAGAACCCTGTAAGCACAAAGTCCTGAAACTAGCTGGGATCTGGACTTTATCAGACCACAAACCTGATCCAAGTCCACCAGAGCCTTGTAGAGTCTGGGTCCTGAGACTCCCTGGAAACCTGATGGAAGGACATGTTGACCTACAGAGTCCAGCCACCTGAGACACAAACAGGTGAATTGTTTGGACACGCCCCTTTCTGTCTGACTTTACATGAAGGTTTGATGTTTATTTTGGCGGGTGCAGAAACAAAAAGTTTCTCTTGTTTTATTTTGGTGAGCTGAGTCAAGTCCTGTTACCTCAACCGTCTTCCTGCAGGGAAACAGCAGCTTCTTTTAGCCAAATACTCCTGAAACTGACGTCCAAAGAAAACGTTTTCATTCTGTTTGTTTTCACTTTGTTTCCTGTTCAGAGTCGAAGAACAAACAAAACCAAAAGAAGTTCTCGTCACGTTTAATATTTCAGAATTTTTGAAGAAGTGAAGATACTTTCACAAGTCTAAGATGAAGTTTCACCAAAAGATGAAACCCAAAAACCAAAACTTCAGATGTTTGTAGAACCACAGGGGGCCTGTGAGTTCCCTTTGTGTGGTTGAAAGTCTTTACAGTACCCCTCCCCCTGAGGACACTCACCTCTCCAGTTTAAATCACAGACTGTAGTTTTACCCTCCGGTTTTTGTGGAGAAACTACTTTTAGACCCTGGTTCCTGATAGGAGAACCTGTTTCAACAAAGAGACCTGTTCAGTCCCACCTGAATGTCTCTGGAGTGTTCTGATGTCTCAGAGCACCTTTGGACTTGTCTCATTGTCTTCCAGTTGTTGAAGGTTGTTTGACCTTCAGATATTTGGCTCCGCCCCTTCACTGTCCTCAGGGTCAAGCATCCCGTCTGTCTGAAGGTCCTCATTGATATTGTTTTGTCTCTAACCCGACCCGAATGTCTAAACCAGGACAAAGGCTTTCAGAGCATTTTGTTGATATTTTGGCTGTTTTTAAAAGCTTTTTTCTTTTCGTCACTGCTGTTGAAAGACGAAAATCTGCCAAAATTCTTCTTCTTTTGAATAAATGATTATTTTTCTAGTTAGAACCAGTTCCCTCCTCGTTCTCTATAGTTTGACTTGATTTTGTTTGTTGTAGCTGAATAATGTGAAAATGTTTTTAGAACTTCAGATCCAGGTATTCCATTGCTTGGTTCAGAACCGTGGACCAGAACTTGAACAGGTTCTGTGGTTCAGAGTTCTGAAGCAGCTGTAGAACCTTAGAGATGATAGTGATTCAAGGCTAGAACCAATGAGAAAAGCTTTAATATTTCAAACAGTTTTATATTTTTAGTAACGAGTTCACAGAACAGAAGAGAAACATGGAGAGAGTTTGATTTAAAAACACATTTAAAGAAATGGTTAGTTTGTTTGAAACACTTTTTGGGGATAAATTTTCTGTCAAATGTTCAAATGTTTCTGAAAATTTCTTCTGTTTCAAAACCAAATAAAGATGATTCAAGTAGAAAACAGATTGAAGTGTTTTTTCTTTATCTCCCACTGCAAAGGGACTGTGTGTGTGTGTGTGTGTGTGTGTGTGTGTGTGTGTGTGTGTCATTAGCATACTGATTAGCATGAGAACAGTCCGTCTCCACAATGAGAACTTTATTCCCACAGGTCTGTCAGACGTGGTCCTGGTGTTGCTGCTCAATCAGGAACAGTTTTTATTTATTTAAACATTTTTGTGTAAAAATAATTTGTTATTTTAAAAACTTAACTTTGAAGAAATTGAGCTCTGTGATTGGGTGATTGGATCAGATTATTTTGTTTAAAAGTTCCAAGTGGACTTCAAGTCTGTGGACTTGGTTCAGAAACTAACCGGACCCTGAAGCCAACATGGGATGACTGAAAAATAACAAAACATTTGACCTTTAATTAAAATCTGATTGTTTTTTTGTTGAGGGGTCAAAGGTCAAAGTGGAGTTTAAACAAAGGCACAAAGTAGTTGAAGTTCATGTTGAGGACGTGTTCAGTGTCACCATCAGCACCAGAACTCTGAAGCAGAGATCATATTTCTCCAGTTTTAGCTTCTCTCCACTGGCTCCCTGTCAAATTCAGAACAGAATTTAAAATATTCCTCCTAACATACAAAGCTGTTAACAACCAAGCTCCATCATATATTAAACATCTTATTGTTCCATCCTTTCCTAACAGAGCACTTCACTGTCAGACTGCAGGTTTACTTGTGGTTCCTGGAGTTTCTAACAGTAGAATGGGAGGCAGCGCTTTTTTAAAATAAAACTTTCCTCGTTCAGAAATCCTACAGTTCAGGCTGGACTGGGTACGAGACCCCTTTAATCCTTCTGCTGTAAGTTCAGAGTTTTCTTTAATATTTCTGCTCCTCAGCTCCTCCAGAGTTCGTGCAGTGGCCTCAGTCCCTCTCCAGACCAACAGGGGGCAGCGCTGTGTTCAGCTGCACAGCCACCGGTGTCCCTGAGCCGCACTTAATCTGGCTGAAAAATGGCAAACTGTTGAATCCGAGCGGCAACGTCAAACTGACCAGTGGAAACACGTGAGAGTTCCAGCAGAGTCTGTCTGAAGGTCCAGATCAGGTCCAGCTGAAACTGTAGTAACGCCCCTCTTTCTGCCCCCCCAGGACGCTCGCCATCACCCGCATCACTCCTGCGGACGAGGCCATTTATCAGTGCATTGCTGAGAACAGCGCCGGGACCAACCAGGCCAGCGCCCGCCTCGCCATTGACCAGGGAGCCCACCTACCTGAGGCCCCCACTGGTCTCCAGGCCACAGCGCTCAGCACCAGCACCCTGCACCTGACCTGGGACCCCCCGGACCAACACGTCAGCCAGCACATCATTGGATACGTCCTACACATCAGGAGACTGGGAGGTAAGGGGCGGAGTCATTTTGAAACGCCTGGAACATCTAGAGCTGAGCCGGTCCAGTCTCAGGTGTAGAGTGAAGTACAGAGTCTGGATGTGACCCTGGTCTCTGGACTCCACCTGAACCCCTCTCAGAACCTGATACAGTCCAGGCGTGTTCATAAAGACAAACCTGGACTCACCAGGACACAGAAGACTACCAGCTGTCTGCTGCTCTTACCTGGGTTCTACAGGGGTTAGACAATCAAAGTGAAACAGCTGTCATGTTAGTGTGGGAGGTTTCATGGTTAAACTGGACCAGCCTGGTGGTCAGTCTTCATTAACTGCACATTGCACCAGTAAGAGCAGAGTGTGAAGGGTCAGTTAGCAGGGTAAGAGCACAGTTTGGATCTAAACATTACAATGTACACAACATTATGGTGCCATACCAGAGTTCAAAAGAGGACAAACTGTTGGTGCACGTCTTGTTGGAGCATCTGTGACCAAGACAGCAAGTCTTTGTGATGTATCAAGAGCCACGGTATCCAGGGTAATGTCAGCAGACCACCAAGAAGGACCAACCACATCCAACAGGATTAACTGTGGACGACACAGGAAGCTGTCTGAAAGGATGTTCAGGTCTAAAACCAGGTGTTTCAGTGTCTAACACCTGTACTTCCTGTCGTGTTGTCAGAGGCAGACAGTGCTGAGCTGCAGGAGGCCGTGGATAAAACCACCTTCAGCCACGACTTCAACAACCTGGAAGCTGCCACCACCTACTCCATCTACCTGAAGGCTTACTCCGCCCAGGGAGGCAGCCAGCAGTCCATCACCATCACTGCCACCACACAGGGAGGAGGTGAGTCACCTGAGACCACTGAGACACACCTGAGACACACCTGAGACACACCTGAGACGCACCTGAGACGCAGCTGAGACACATCTGAGACCACTGAGACACACCTAAGACACACCTGAGACACATCTGAGACCACTGAGACACACCTGAGACCACTGAGACACACCTGAGACACACCTGAGACACATCTGAGACACATCTGAGACACATCTGAGACCACTGAGACACACCTGAGACCACTGAGACACACCTGAGACACACCTGAGACACATCTGAGACCACTGAGATACACCTGAGACACACCTGAGACCACTNACACCTGAGACCACTGAGACACACCTGAGACGCACCTGAGACGCAGCTGAGACACATCTGAGACCACTGAGACACACCTGAGACCACTGAGACACACCTGAGACCACTGAGACACACCTGAGACGCACCTGAGACACATCTGAGACACATCTGAGACACATCTGAGACCACTGAGACGCACCTGAGACACATCTGAGACACATCTGAGACCACTGAGACACACCTGAGACCACTGAGACACACCTGAGACGCACCTGAGACGCAGCTGAGACACATCTGAGACCACTGAGACACACCTGAGACACACCTGAGAGACATCTGAGACACATCTGAGACACACCTGAGACACACCCGAGACACACCCGAGACACACCCGAGACACACCTGAGACACACCTGAGACACACCTGAGACGCACCTGAGCCTCACCTGAGACACCTGGGACAGTTTTAAAATGCGAGGTTGGTATCTGTCTTGACAACAACCTGACATTTGAAACAACATGATGTCGTGCAGTCAGAGATAAAACCCTGAACTGGTTTTCTTTACCTCAACTAATCATCCAAACAGCTCCTGGTTAAAATGACAACCCTTCCAGTCCCAGACTGGTGTGACGTGTTTACAGGTCTGCCTCTAAAACCCTTCTTCACAAACTGGACGTTATTCATCACACTATCTGAGTTATCACTGGAGCTTCATTTAAAACACACTGATCTGTCCTCCCTGATAAACTGGTCATCTCTTCATTCTGGTTCATGTTCATTTACAAAACCCTCACTGGAAAAACGCCAGGTTACCTGCAGGCACTTCTCACTGTTCACAAACCAAACGGTGGTCTACGTTTTAGTGACCTCATCAATCTCCTCATTCCGTCTTTGGTCACTGCTCCTCAGTTCTCTGCTGCAGGTGACTGGAACCATCTGCACCGAACCTTGAACCTGGACTCATTTAAATGTTCCACACACTCAGCAGTAAAAGATCACTGTTCTGGCTTTTGGTTTCCTTTTTATTTTGTTTTCCTGGTTTATAATGTTACAGTTTGTGTAACTGTACTCTGCTGTCTGTGTCGTGTCTTTGTTTGAACGTTGTTCTGACAGTTTGTGTTGTTCTGCTGCCTCTGGACCAGGTCGTCATTGTAAAGGAGAAGTGGTTCTCAACTGACTTACCAACTGACTTAGGTGCTGGTCTGGTTTGGGTTTGCACTTATGAAGAACAAGTGCCAATTTACTAATTCTCTTTTCCTCCTATTCCTTAAAGCTAAATCTTTACCTTTTTCTCTCTTATTTACTTAAAACCTAGTTA